CTCTCTCGCTGTGTCTCTCTGTCAAATAAATAAATAAAATCTTAAAAAAAAAAAAAAAAGAATGTGGGGGTGACTTCAACGTCATGGGGAATGCTGGTTAGACGGGCTTGGCCAGGACTCACTGCCATGAGTGTCCTGAAGGCTTAGTTCTGGAAGACTTGCCCTTGGGGATATGTGGAAGAACCGGGGAGAGGAGACACAGGTCCACGGCCCGCACCTGCTGTGGGCCAGACCCTTGACTCGGTGCCGCTCGGAGCGTGTGCCCCGAGCCCCGCCTGGAGGAGATTTGGGTGGAGAAGTCACCATACAAACAGCCATAGGGGGCCTTCCTTTGCACCCCGCACCCAGCCTGGGTGGGGGGAGGGTCACTGTAGGCAAGAAGGGAAGGTTTCACCAAGGAGGAGGCATTTTAGCCGTGTCCAGAGGGATGGAGGGGTGAACACGGTGGGAGAGGCTTCCCGTGGGGGAAACAGCTGGATGGGTCAGTGGGTCGGAATCTCAAAGAGCCTGGAATATCAGGCTACAGAGAGACCCTTGAGAGAACCCCAACTCACACAGCTTCCTGCAAGGCCTCACCTGACGAACTCAGGAATGGGCCCACTTCCCTGGTGCTTGGTGCCATTCTGCCAGCTCAGAGACCCCAGTGGGGGCGGGGGACGGGCAGGGGGAGAGAGCTGAGCGCCGCAGATGTTCTGGGATCCCACCTGAGCCCTCCAGTTTGGATCAGGCCCATTCCTGAACTAAAAGTCTTTGTGGCCACGGGCAGAGGCAATATGCAAATTGCGGTCTAAGCCCTGTCAAAAACAACCTTGCCTGGGGGTAGGAGCGGAAAGAGTCAGTCCCTAAGTGGCTTGGACCAAGAGTGGAGGAGGGTTGGTTCCTGAGGGATGCCGTGCTGGGGGGTAGGGATCCCTGGCAGCCCTGCCAGGAAGTGATGGGCACCAAAGTGCCTGGACGAGGCAGGGCCCACCCAACCAGGCGCCCAGGGGACCGAAGGGCCCCAGCCCAGGTGTGCCTCAACTCCTCCTTTTACTGCAGACAGGCATGCCCCGGACACTGAGCGCCTCCGACATGGTCACCCCTGGCAGCCCTGGCCCACCCCCCACTGAGCCCACGGATGGCGAGCAGGCCGGGCAGCCCCTCCTGGATGGGGCTCCCTCATCAGCCTCCCTGGACACCCTGATCCAGCACCTGGTGCCCACGACTGACTACTACCCCGAGGTGGGTGACCCACGCAGTGGGGAGGAGGGGCATCAGAGCGGGCTCTCTTCTGCCACGCATGGGGGAGACCCTAGGGCTGGGGCTGGTCTCGGACCTGGGGGCACAGCCCTGCCATGCCTTTGTGAGCACATGCTGCCTTTCTCTGTGTCCCCCCAGAAAGCCTACATCTTCACCTTCCTCCTGAGCGCCCGCCTCTTCATCGAGCCCCGGGAGCTCCTGGCCCGCGTCTGCCACCTGTGCATTGAGCAACAGCAACTGGACCAGCCTGTGCTGGACAAGGTGAGGGCCAGGGCAGGGGCCTCCCGGTATCAGGCACTCCCCTGACGTGCCCTCACGCGTTGACCTCTTGGAGTGGCGGTCACTGTCCCCCATGCTCCTGAGCCGGAGCCCACAGGGGCTTCCTGACTCGTCTGAGGCCCAGAGCTAGAAGGGACAGAGTTGGGACCCTTCAACCAGGTGCTGTTTCCCACTGTCCTGCGGGAGGCCCTGAGCTCACAGCATGCCCAGACCCGGGCCCCCAGAACCCCATCAGCAGGACCCTTGCCACCTGGGATGGCCCTGCGGCATCTGCTGGGCTTTCTGCCTTCAGCACACTCCGTGCCATCCTCCCCCTGTGGGGTCTGCTGATGGCTCAGCCTTCCTCCGTCCCCGGCCAGATCCCGCGGCTGTGACTGTTTATAGGTGTGTCCTTCGGGCTCTGGCGCTATACTGTAGTTGAAGCCCAACTACAGCTGGCCTAAGACAAAGGGACTTCGCTGGCTCATGCAACTGCGAGGTCTCAAGTACCACTGGCTCCCGGGGCTCCAATGACCCCCATGGAAACGTGTTCTTTCTCCCTCCGACCCTCTGCTCCGTTCTCCTCGGGGCCAGCCCCACCCTCACTCGGCCAGGGTCTCCCTGCCCAGTGACAGGTGGCCTCGGCCACTCCAGGCTCGCCATCTACTCTTCCCAATTCCAGTGGAAACAGCAAGCCGCGCTCTAAATAGGTCCCAAGGAAAGTGCCGACCTCATTGGCTTAGCTTAGGCGACAGGCCCACCTGTGAGCCAATCAGTGTGCATGATGGGGCTGTACGACGTTCTCATTGGCCAGCACTGATCTGGACCCCTGCCAGGGGGCCTGAGGCGAGGTGAACTGCCTCTGAACCCCAAGGGCGGGGAATGAGGGAGACGGAAACTCCCAAAGCAAACTGAGATGTTATCACCACAGAGAGGGAGGTAGGATGCCCAGCAGGCAAAAACAACAGAGGATCCTGCGCCACACGTGTGTCTGTCCCCCTCTGTTCCCCTGTGGTCAGCCCCCAGCCCTATCACCTGACACAGAGAAGGCACCAGGCACACCTCCCTCGGCCACCAGGGGCGCTGCCGGGGTAGCCCGACCCCAGCAGAGCATGCGCAGTGCGTGGCTGATGCGGCAGCTGATGGGGCCCCTTCACCTTGTGCAGACGCTTCTTGGCTTGCCTTGCAGGCCCGGGTCCGGAAGTTTGGCCCCAAACTGCTCCAGTTGTTGGCCGAATGGACGGAGACATTCCCGCGGGACTTCCAGGAGGAGTCGACCATCGGGCACCTGAAGGACGTGATGGGCCGCATTGCCCCCTGTGACGAGGTAGGCAAGCCGAACGCAAGTCCTACACCCTGTCTGCACGCCTACACCGGGGACCTGAGCCTGTTCCTGGGGCCAACCTCAGGGCCCTCATCCCGCCATCTGTACACTGCAGCCCCTCTAAAATCAGCCCCTTTCTGCCCCATCAGGAAATCAGGCCCTGCAGAGCTGGCAGGGAAACCAGGCCTCTGGTTCCAGGTCCGGTCTCTTGACCTCTCTCCTGTCCTGCGCTCATATACGTCATCAGATGGCAGGCGAGGAAAGACCCCCTCACGGTCTCTTGCGACCAGGCCCTTGGTCAGTGACCCATTAGGCTGGCCTGGAGGGCCCTGGTTGGGGCAGAAGAGGAAATAGGGCCCCCCTGTGGCTAAAACCACATCCCAAGGTAAATGCAGCCCTTGTGGCTTGGAAGGCAGCCAGTGGGGTGGGCATCAGGCACCCCACACCCTGCCCTGTTATCCCAGCTGCATTATTCTGGGGAAGACACTTAAAGGTAAAAGGGGGACAGAAATCCCCACCTCTCAGGATTAGGGTCAGAATACAGAGAAGGACCCTGCAAAGGGGATGGAAGTCTCCTGGTACACTTAGAAGGGGCAGGCTTATCGGAATCTCCAGAGTGATTCTGTGGCCAGCATGCAGCTGCTTTCCCTAGGAGAGAACATTGGGGGGAATGCAGGTCAGTTGCCCTGGGAGGAGACTGCATGTGGCAAGCTGGTAGCTAGTCATGTGCCGAGAAGTGGGTCTGGACATGGCAGAGTCCCGTGCTTGTGAAACCAAGGAAAACCACCAAGGCAGGATGGGCAATAGGGAGCCATAAAGCAGAGAGGGAGACCTTGCCTGTGGGCCGCGTCACATGGCAGACAAGTGACTTAGCCACTCTGAGGGCTCGGTGAGATGAGAGTCATCTCCTCCTCCTCCTCCCCCTCCTCCTCTGCATCTCCTAATCCATCTGGGGATCCTGACACTTGGCTTAGGATGCAGCAGGAAGTGGGGTCAGAGAAGGCTCAATGATTGGATGAGTTAGGAGGGGTGGGTACAAGCTGGGAGGGAGATTCTGGCTGGCTTGATGGTTAGATAGTTGGCTACCTTGATGGATGGGTGGAGGGGGGAAGATAGATGTTGGATATTCTGATACGCAGATGGATTTTTAGTGTGAGTGAATGTGGACAGATTGATGGGTAGGTTGGGGGGTGGATAGATGGATGGATGGGAGGATATGAGGGTGGGTAGGTGGATGGATGAATATGGATGAATGGATGGATGGATGGATGGATGAATGGGTGGGTGGGTGAGTAGATGGGTGAGTAAGAATGGATGGGTGGATGGATGGATGAGTGGATAGAAAGATGGGTGGGTGGGTGGGAGGATGGGTGAATAAGGATGGACAGATGGATGGATAGGTGGATGGATGAATAAGGATGGATGGATGGGTAGATGGATGGGTAGATATGTAAGTGGATGGATAGGTGGATGGATGGATGGGTGAATGGATGGATGGGTAGGTGAATGGATGGATGGATGGGTAGATGAGTGGGTGAATGGATGAGTGGATGGATGGATGGATGGATGGATGGATGGATGGAATGGAGGGTATGCAGGGGGATGAGAGTCCAGTCTTCTGCTTCAGCCCCCTGTCCCCAGGAGGTCTTCAGCAGAATAAGATCTGAACCACTGACAAGACAGAATCATCCACCCTTGTCAGGCCTGCCTCTGCCATTGGTGGAGCCATTTCCAAGGCAGACCCTGTCCTTCCAGCTGCAGTGGGGGGATGGGTGTAAGTCCTGGGCTGGCTTCCTAGGGAAGTAGGGCCTTCTCCCCTGAGAAGCTGTCAGGCCTGCCACCAGGACTGTGCTGGGAAATCTTTTCTAACTACCCCATGGATGAGAAATGAGTGAGGCCTAGGAATGGCTGTTGAGAGCAGCCATCCACCAGGTGTAGGTTTTTGGGGCAGATATAATTCACCTGAGACATTCTCATTCCTTGCCTTGGGATCCAGTTAGGTGTGCTGAGCGGTGTGGGCTGAAACGGGGGTGCTTTCTTGTGTCTTTGAGACCCAGAGTTGCCCTTGCCCAGAGAGCAACCGCTCCAAAGGGCATGTCCTCTGGGTGCTGCCGCCCCTCCCCTGGAGGCTGCAGGTGGACCGTGGGTTGCTCCCCTCCCAGCACAGAGCGCAAGGGCTCGGCCCAGAAAGGAGCCAGTGACCTGTCTGATCAGGCAGGGCCACGGTAGGACTCAGAGCACGGGGTCTGGATCAGACTGCCTGAGCCCACTCAGACCCCGGCTCAGAAACCACAGCTGTGTGACCTCAGGCAAGGTGCTTCACCTCTCTGAGCTTCAGTCTCTTTATCAGCAAAACAGGATAATCATCACCCACCACACAAATTTGCAGTGAAGAGTTCCTAAAGTCACGTGTGTTCTTATTTCGGCACTTCGTGAGCTGTGACGGGGAACGAATTATTTCCAAAATTCAGGGGATGTGGGGCTTATTTTTAACTTGTATGGAGTTTTTATTGTGGAACATTTCAAGCATACACAAAAAGAGAGAATAACAACCCTGAGCTCCCATGTATTCACCACCTAGGCTCAACAATTATCAACATTTTGCCAAATTCACTTCTTCTCTCCCTCCACCCATTTCCCCCTCCCTCCAAATTATTTTTAACCATTATATGTTTAGCTCCAAGAATATTTCAGCATTTTTCTGTAACAGGTTTCTCACACAGGGACCAGATCAAATGATGTAAAGTGCGGTGCCCAAGTCAGTGAAATGAACACGAGCATTCTCAGAGCTGTGTGTCTTTGGGCCAGTTCCTTAACCTCTCTGAGCCCTCAATGTCTGTCTACAAAGAGGGAGGGTGATAAGGGCTGTGAGATAACAGTGAGGCTCAGGGAAAAAGAGGAAACAGCACAGGGCCAGGGCCAAGGGGCTTCCCCATCAGAGGGCCGTGAAAGGTGACACCTCCTCTTACGTGCTGTTCCCTCCCCTGAACCCTCATGATCTCCCTGCACTGCCTGCCACCTCTCAGCATCTGGGAACAAAAGGCCAGAGAGGAGCTGGAAAGGCCCTTCTCCATGACTGAACATGGCCACTGCATCAGGATACTTGTTTGGGGCCACTCCGTGCTAGCCTGGGCACCCTGCCTGCGAGGGGCTACCCGCAGGCTGGACTCAGCAGTTTTGGCTCAGGGAAGCCAGTGCTGAGGCTGAGGGGGAAGCCAGGAGAGGCCCAGAGGCCACAGCTCCAGTAAAGGAGACAGGACAGGAGGACCCATGTGCCCTGGCCACACCCACCCGGGGCGGCTGCAGAGGAAGCTGATACCACAGGCCCTCCCGGGGATGGCCTTGCCTTCCCATTCCCATGACGATCTGCTGGGCTCACACTGCTGCCCTCGGAGGCTCCCCCCAGCCCCCCGCCCAAGGGCGCAGGGAGTGGAAAGCTAACACAGAGAAAAAACTGGTGGCAGGTGCAGAGCTCCTGCCTCCGCAGGGTGGGCTGAGCCCATTGCAAGTCACCCTGGGCTTGGCTCAGGTGGGATTTTCAAGAATTCCGAAGAACAGAGGCCCATGACTGTCCAGTCAGAGATGAGTTCTAACCATGAATGGCCAGGAGGCTCCTGGAGAGCCTTTGAACGACCTCTGTACTTGAAACCCAGGTCCATGTACATGTCAGGTGGCTCCGTGGAAATGGATGGCATCGGGCAGGCTATGAGGGGTGGAGCTTTCCGTGCGTGGAACGTGCCTTCCTGACAGGGACAAGGGACAGCCTCAACATTCTCAGAGCTGGGTCTCTGGGTCTGCTCAGACGTACCTAGATCTCCCAGCCTCTATCCACAAGGGTGTAGGAATCATGAGAGAAGAACCAGCACACACCATCCCCCTATTCAGAGGGGTGCAGAAGATTCGGGAAAGAACCAACAGATAAACTTGAGGTTAACACCGCCGGGTGAATTCTAAAGGAATTAGCAAGCAGAAAAAGATCATCATTGGGAGTGAATATATTGGTTCAGTAGAAACAAGTCTTGAGAAATCATCTGCATATTTTTAAAATAGCGTAAGCCCGTGGTTCTGTCAAACTCTAGGCACAGACACGCTGAGGCCTTGGCTTCAGGAGGGCTCCACAGTCTACGCCGGCGAGGCTGACCAGCAGCTAGAAGCAGGTGAAGGCCATGTTCCTCCAGTCAGCACATGTGTGTGAGCCCCTCCCGAGTCCTTCATGCTGTAATCTTCGTGGAGCTGGTAGTGCAGAGAGAGGAAGTACACAATCCCCCGATCGAGGCTTGGCCAAGGATGTGAAGGAAGCCCGGTGCTCTGAGGTCACAAGCGTGAGAAGAACGTGCAGGAGAGAGCAGGCCCTCCCAGGGTCTCGGGGTGAGGGGCGGGGAAGGGGCCAAAGGGATGAAAGAGGGGGACAGGGCCCATGTGGAGGCCATCGAGTGTAGCCAGAGCTGACCTCAGGACCCCCAAGCCCCGCGGGGCTTCTGTCTTTGCAGAGGCACTGGGGATGCAGAGGTCAGACGTGCATTTTCAACAGACCACTCGGGCTGCAGAGTGGAGTGCAGAGAGGCCGGCGTGGATGCAGGGGGGCCCTCCGAGGACCTGCACCACAGAGACAAAGCATGGAAATCGCAGAAAGCGAAATGAGGAGGATCGGTGACGGCCAGGAGGGGTGTGCGGGAGAGGGGGGCTTGAGGATGGCCACAGGCCTGTGCGCAGGACACAGGTGCTCCGGGGGCTGAGACAGGGATGTGGACAGAGGAGGCAGCTCTGGGCAAGGGGGGCGAGACGGCCACTCGCACACATTGGGTCGAGGTGGCCCCTTGGCCATGTGGCTCTGCAGATCCGAGAAGAAGCTGTATGTGTAAGATGGATGTTGTCCACACAGACACTGAGTAACACTCTGGACATGACCCAGCTTACCCAGGGCCAAGGGACAGACTGAAGGGGAAGGGGGAGCCAGAGGAGATGGGGGGCGGATCTCCAGCATGGAAGGACGGTGCAGACGAGCCTGCCAAGAGCCCGAGGCAGGAGGAACCGGAGACAGACCCAGCCTGAGACACGGCCGCGGGCTTTCCTGACAGGCTGAGTGAGGAGAGACATGGGGGGGCTGGTGCAGGTGTCGGGGCTCACAGGATGCACCCAGCTCCCTAGTTTCCCAGCACGCAAGTGAAGACCTGACCGGCAGCGTGCCGACCACACTCTTGGACCCCACAGAGCTGAGAGGGGCTGTTCCTTCTGCAGGCAGTGGATGGAAGAGTTGGACCTCAGTTTACCCACATACCGTCCCGCTCAGCAGTGGGCCTGGCCCCCACAGCTCTGGGAGCAGGAGCTAGGGTTCGGGTTTGGGTAGGATTAGCAGTCTCCTGTCCTGATTCCCGTGTCCTGAAGGCTCTGCCCGTGGCCACTTGAGAGAGTAGCACTTCCGTGAGCGGCAGGTGGATGCCGACTCGGTCACCAGAGCTCTGGGCACCAACGGCCCCCAGGAGCCCTGTCAGACTTAAGGAAGTGTGAAGCCCCCCATGCACACTCGGCCCAGCTAGCCAGATGCCCCACCTGCAAAATGCTGCTGGATCTGTGTGTTTCAAAGCAGCGTGAAGAGAGCACACATCTTCTATCTGACTACTGACCACCCGCCATCCTCCCAGGCCTCTGGGGCCGCAGGGCACCCCACCCGCCTGCCTGAGGGCTCATCGCTGCCTGGACGCCAGGCCCCAGATACCCGCCCCTGCTCCGGAGCCAGCTCCTCGGCTTGTGGGGCCTGAATCACCTCGGGGGCGGGGGGGCATCATGGCCTCTCTTCCCTGCACCCCATCCAGGGCAGCCCAAAGCAAGCATGCATCTGTCCGAGCTGCGCGGTGAGACACTTCTGTCCACGTGCCCAGGGTGGGGACAGGGCCGGACACCGCTCGCCATCGCTCGCATCCCGGCCAGCCCAGAGCCTCAGATGCTAGACATGCTCAGGCATGCGCTCCTCTCTTTCCGCCCCTCCAGGCATACCGAAAGAGGATGCACCAGGTCCTGCAGGCTCTGCACCAGAAGCTGGCCGCTCAGGGCCAGGGCCCGGAAGGCCTGCTGGGTGCCGACAAGCCCATCTCCTACAGGACCAAGCCGCCGGCCTCCATCCACCGGGAGCTCCTCGGCGTCTGCAGTGACCCCTACACTCTGGCCCAGCAGCTGACCCACGTGGAGCTGGTGAGCAGGCCTGTGCCATCCCCTAGCCAGACCCAGAGCCGGGGAACAACTGAGAACCGGCCATCCCCGGCCCCCCGCCTTGTGTTCGCATCACCCAGGGCTCGAGCCTGTCCCAGCAGGGCCAGCCGGGCACCTCCAGGACGCCCTGGCTCTGGAACAGTCTCTCGCCATTCCAGCGGGAGGGCTGGACATGCTAGGCCTGCCCGGCTTGGACCCTTGGCCTCCCTGAGAGTCTGGGCCTGGGACAGAGGAACTGGGTTCAAATGCTGGCTCTGGCACCACCTGCCGTGTGCGCTTCCCCCCACTAGTGCCTTCCCTACCAGGGCCTCAGTTTCCCCATCCAGGACTCACAGACACGCTGCACCCACCACAGCCTTCCAGAGAAGTGCAGGTAGGCCTTCCTGCGTGTGAAGGGGACATCCCAGCCTAGCCTCCAGCAGGTTGGGTTCCTTGTAGATGCAGAGGGGCCAAGGGGCCTGCCCCAGAGAGAGGGGAGGTGGGGAGTAGGTTTCTTCTCTTTTAAACCCTCCCCCCTTTATGGCTCCCTTACTTTCTGGCATTATCCTCAGAACTTAACGTGCACCATCTCATTCCATCTTCCCTCACCCGGCCAGGGAGGTGCTATTTTGATCCCCTCTGCACCAATGAGGAAACTAAGGTCCAGAGAGGCTAAGAGACTTGCCTGAATTCACCAGAAAGAACAGAGCCAGAATTTGATTCTGACCCATACCTCCCCGGGAGGGAGCAGGTCATTTCAATTGCCCAGTTTTGAGCCTGGTTTCCTGGGTATAACCCCTCCCAAGCACGCCCTGTGGGGACCTTGCCTCCTGCCCCCATGAACTTCGGCAGCCCCTGGGCATGGGAAAAGAGGGGTGCCTCCTTCAGGATGGTTTCAGGCTCTGTGACAACCCAGAATGGGGGAGCTCCCTCTCTCATATAAATAAATAAAACCTTTAAAAAATATATCAACCAACTACTGAAGTCTGAAAAAACCATAGTTGGTCAGTCCTTCTTTCGAGTAGAAATGATGTTCTCACCCTAGTGCGAAGGGCAGGTGTCCAGAGACCGTCCTGGGGTGGGCTGACAGGTAGGGAACCCGCAGGAGCACCATGCCAGGCCCGAGGTGGGCACCCCCCCCTCCCCGCACCTGCCCCCTTTCCCAACTCCTCTTCTCCCTTCTGGTGCAGGAACGGCTGCGGCACATCGGGCCTGAGGAGTTTGTCCAGGCTTTTGTGAACAAGGACCCTTTGGCCAGCACAAAGGTAGAAGGCCCTTGGACAGGCTGTCCCACCAGCGACCCCCGCCCACTGGCCCGTCTGGGGAATTCGGAGGTGCCCGGAGCAGAGCAGATGGGCTTTCAGGGGCTGCGTCCACTCCACCCGTGCCCCTCCAGCCCAACAGCCCCGAGTCCTGGGGAAGCCGGCCGGTCACCCACCCAGCGAGGGCGGAGGGCGGGGGTGGGCGTGGAACCGAGGCCCGGGGTGCGAAGGAGAGTGGAGCGCACCCCAGGCGCTCTCCAAACCCCCAAGGCTCTCCCAGCGCGTTTCGGTGGGCGCTGGTGCCCTCCAGCGGCCACCCGGGGTAGCGCACGCTACTGCGCGCCGCCCAGGAAAGCTAAGGGCGCTCTTCCCTTAACTGGTGCGGTGGCCCCCGGGCCACGGACTGTGGACCGCGTCCACGCACGGGATTTCGGGTTTGTCCCTCTTCTGTCAGAGCCCAACCAGTAGGATGTCTGGTGCTTATCAGCCGGGTGCAATTCGAATCAGAACTGGAAACATTGTTGTCTTCTGCCCTCTGGTGTAATGAAATGAGAGCAACTAAATATGAGTGCATTTTCACCTCTCAGATAAGCAAAGATAAAGCATCGTGGGTGTGTAGGGAAAGACACACTTTCATACATGGCTGGTGCGGGGGGGATTGGCACAGCGGCTTTGGGGGGGTGCAGTTCACAATAGCATCAACGCTTGAAATGTACACCCTTTACCTCAACTTCACCCGCCTAATAATTTATCCTAGGGATATACACACCCTATGTACACAAAGATGTATGCACAGAGATATTTGGGATATACTGTGGCTATTATGGCCAAAGGCTGGAAGCAACCTACCTTATCACCCACAGGGACTCAATTACAAATTACAGTACGTCCACACGTGGAATGCTATGCATCTATTACAAAGAATAAGAGTGGCTAGAAGTAGAGAATAATCACCCAGATCCATTATAGAGAGAGAAAAAAAAATCTAGAGCGAAGAGCAGTGACGAAGAAGATGTGGCCATTTCTGTAACAACAAAAGGAGGGAGCGTGATACCTGTCTGTTTGCACAATGCATGCGTGTAGACAATCTCTAGGAATACTGAGTACTCTTGGGAGCCCTGCTTGAGGGTGGGGGTTGGAATGGCAAGGAGACTCGGCCACTCTCAGCAAGTTGTTCTTATGTTTGGTTTTGGTTTTTGGCCATCTCCAAGAATTACTTTTTTATTGTGAAGTACATCAGATGACCCGTGACCTCTCTTCACCCACTCTACGGTAGATGAACGTTTGTGGTTGTTTCCAGCCTCTTGTTATTATAGATACTGCTGCTATGAACATTCTTACACGTTTCCAGGTACATCGGTGCATATTTTTCTAGGGCATCAGTTCTCAAATGATTTGGTCTTAAGACCCCTTTATACTCTTAAAAGTCATCAAGGACCCCAAAGAACTTTTGGTTATGTAGATCGTATCTACCAATATCCATCGTATTAGCCATTAAAACCATAACTTTTAAAGATATTTATTTATTCAAAATGGCAATAATAACGTATCACATGTCCACATCGGTAACATATTTTATGGATATAACTAGATTTTCCAAAGTAAAAAAATTACTGGGAAGAGTGATATTGCTTTACTGTATTTTTGTAAATCTCTTTAATGACCAGTGTAACAAAAAGACAGCTGGATTCTCTTATCTGCTTCTGCATTCAATCTCTTGACATACATTATTTGGGTTGAAAAATCCAACGTCCCACAAATATGTAGTTGGAAAAGGGAAGAGTATTTTACATTATTTTCAGATAAGTGAATATTTTTCTTTGATACTATGCTAAAACTCAGCAGGTGGTAGTGTTTTTTAAGATTAGTTGCAATTTGGAATCTGAAAATGTTATCAGTGGACTTTCTGTACTCGGTTGCATTTAAATCTGTTGGTCCATCTTGCATCTTAATGGATCTTTTGCCCATGTGTGATTTTATAACATCATACGTTGGTCATTTGGAAAATATGAGTTCTCTGAACCAGGCAGATCTTCCAAATGTTGGTGCATTTCATTATACGATATTTTAAAACCACATCCACTAATATCACTACTGATCTCATCCTTGCAAAAAAGCCCTTGCATATTGGGAAACTGTCAAGGTCACAGACGGGGATACATGTCTTATAAGTTCCCAATTCTCTCTTGAAACCTTGAATTTTATCAGTGACAACAAATACTATCAATTACTTCCTTGAAGTGACAGGCTCATTTTGTTGATTTTCAAGAAAATACCAACTAGGGTGCCTGGGTGGCTCAGTCAGTTAAGCGTCTGACTTCAGCTCAGGTCCTGGTCTCAGGATCCTGGGATCGAGCCCCATGTCGGGCTCCGCGCTCAGCTCTCCTTCTGCCCCTCCCCCTGTTCGTGCTCACTCCCTCTCTCATATAAATAAATAAAATCTTTAAAAAATATATCAACCAACTACTGAAGTCTGAAAAAACCATAGTTGGTCAGTTCTTCTTTCGAGTAGAAATGGTGTTCCATGAGAAAAGTGGCCAGTTCTGCTCACAAGTCACACTAATGTTTTTCCTCAAACCTGACTTCTGTATGCCCCAGAAATGCTTTTGTGTACTGTTCCATCCCACAGAATACCAAAAAGATATGTGCACAAGATTGAGATTTATTTTTTTTAAAGATTTTTATTCATTTATTTGCCAGAGAGAGAGCACAAGCAGGGGGAGCGGCAGGCGGAGG